CGGGGCGGGGCCGGCGGCGGGGCGGGGCCTGGCCGCTGTGCGCGCCGCGGTCGGTCCTAGGGCTGCGGGAATGTGCGCTGGCGAGGTCCTGCCGCGGTGCTGCTCTCCCGCCAGCAGCCTGTGCGGCCCCTGACCCGGAGCGCCGCAGCTCGGCGGCAGGAGCGCGGGCGGAGAGCCATGGCCTGCATCCTAAAGGTAAAGACTGAGTCGCGGGCTCGGACCCGTGGTCGGCCGGCCGGCCCCTGGCTGCCGAGAAGCTCGGAGTCCGCCGCGGTCCCACCGCATCCTCATCGCAGTTGTGTTTGCTGGCATTGATTTTCTTTTTGTTCCTTTGGCACATGCATATGGAGGGAGACTGCAACGTGCAGCTTGCGCGGCTTCTTTCCCACCATCCCCGCTGCGCGCGCCTGCACGAGGAGCTGCAGACCGCGGGCTGCAGGGCAGAGCCGGGCTGCGTGCGCAGGGATGGGGATGGGGACGGCAGGCGGCGCGGGGCGCCGGGTCCCCGGCTCGGCTCTGCGCAGCCCAGGCCTTCCAGGGCCCGGGGATAGCACAGGGGCGCCTGGGCTGGGCCGGGGGCTGAGGGCGGTGAGAGGCACAGAGCATAGGACGGAAGGGAGGGCGAGGAGCGCCTCTGTGCCTTTGAGCCCGGGAAGAGCAAACTTCTGGGCTCACAGGTAGTTAGTCCCTAGCAGTGAGTTTGCTGTGAGATCTGCGGGTCCTGGGCAACAGCGGCTGTACTTCGGGGAAGTTCACAGGAGGATGCATTTGTCAATAGAGAGGTGTGCAACTTCTTAGGGCCATAAATTTGAACAGAAAGAAAAAAAAATGGTTTCACTCCTTATCAAAGCCCACTCAGCACCCTCTTTTGGTTGAGTCTTTTCAAGTCTAGGTTTTTTTTTTCCCCTGCACACCCTGGGGCTTTAGGTGGGAAGACTTGGAGCAAGGACTTCCCTGGAGAAGAACTTTCCACCACAGGGCGAAGCACCCTTCCCCCTTGGTTTTTTTCCCACACTGTTGTTTCTACCAGTGCTTAACCTTCCTGGTGAATCAGAAGCGCTCGCTAGACTTTGACTGGAGAAGGCAAGGCCTTTTCGTTCTTGGCTTGGGACCACTGTGTGTGGCGAAATGAAAACATCAGAAAACAAAGTTTTGGTTTTTGTTGTGTTGTTGTGAAATGACACTTGTGTCTTTGTAGGATGCTGTTCTGGCTACCCAAGTGTCTTCCAGAGTCCGGCCTTGGCCTCATCATGCAAACAAAAACCCACCCAGTAGAACTGGTTTCCCTTTCTTGGGCATTCAGAGATCAGACATTTCCTGCGACTGTGCTGAACTTCCTCTGTTTGTTTCAGAATGTTTTCTGGGACTCACACAGGGTGGTCAACTCATAAGGAAATAGTGCATCAGTATTACCAGACAGAAATTTTAACCTTAAGGCTCTTTGTATGAAGATTAAAGTATAAACATGAGTCATTTATCCTATTTATTGTGGTGTTTGGTGATGGGGCAATTGAGGAGCATGACGTTTATTGTTTGGCCACCTTTCTCCCTTTTGGTTTCTCCTCTGCCTCATTCTCTGTGTGTTTCAAACATCTTTGCTTTTTGGTGGGATTCTAGAGACAGAACCCAGGGCCTCACACATGCTACACATGCCCCTGGCCACACTGGGCCACATCTAGCTCCCCTCAAACATCTCTGATGCACACGTGACATGAGTGTGTTGAGCCTTTCACTTCTAGCATCTTGCATTGACCTCGAACACTTGGGCCATCTTTTTTTTTTGTGTGTGTGTGTGTGTGGTACCAGGGATCAAACTCAGGACCTTGTGCTTACCTGGCAAACACTTATTCCACTGAGCTATCTCCCCAGCCAACTTAGGCCACCTTGGAGACGTCTTTATCTTCCCTCAAAATGAATCTGGGATGCAGACAAGCATAATCCAGAGTAAAGACTTGGGATACAGAAATACGTTAGTCTGCATAATGGCTGCTTCCCTTCTGACAATGTGACCTTGGCCAAGTTACTTAAATGTCTCAGAGTCTCAGTTTCCTTAATATGAGATCAAAATAACATCTCTCTCTAAGGTTGCTGTGAAGTAAATAGGGTATAAAATGTGCTTGATGGCACAGGCACTTAATAAATATGTGCCGTTATCCCTGATGTCCAATAATGACTGTAGTTTAGTTAATACTCACTGTCCCCTCAGTCTGTTTCATATAACGTAACTCTCTCTTTCCTGAGGTTTCAGCCCCATTTTATGATCAAGAAGCTGAGGGTCCTGAGTATAAGTGGTGTATCCAGAGTCACTGAGGACTCAGGGCAGAGTGAGCCTGCATTCAGACCCACAGCTGCCAACTTTGCCTGGACTTAAAAGCTGCTCCCTGAACTTCCCCAGGGATGGCTCTCTAAGGTGCCTTCGTACTATTCAGTCGCTACTGCCTTTCACCCACAAGGCGCCTTCCTTGGTGATGGGCTGTGTCGGGCCACACAGGGTGGCGTGCAGAGCGCAGATTTCAGGCTCCATGTTCAGTGCAAGCTTGGCCTCTTGCATTGATTTTGGATAGGCACTTTCCTTCCAGCCTTCTGCCAAGTTGTAGACTGTGTACACTTACATGAGCTTTAATAGAGTTGAACTAAGGGTAAGCTGATGGAGATTTTTTTTTCTTTTTTTAATGTATTTGGTTGTTCCAGGGTCTCACCACACAGCTAGGACTCACAGCGATCCCCGTTTTCAGCCTCCCCAGCACTGGGGTTATAGGCATGTGCCATTAACCCCGGACTCTAGCTGGCTCAGCGGGCCCTGGGGGCAGGGCTGGCGCAGCATGTGGTGCCAGGGATTAGACATTGGTCCCTGAGCTTGCCTAAGTTTGCCTAAGCAGGCACTTTAATCTGCTGAGCTATCTCACTGGTCTCATGGAGTTTTAAAAAAATAAAACATTTTCTGTCACATACTGGCCCAAGTCAGGTGTCAGTGTCTGTAGGAAAGGATTTTCCTCCACTGTCTTAGCTTATGCACCTGGGCCTAATATTCAGATCAACAAAAGGGAGACTCACAAGAGAATAGTATGTTTTATTTATTTATTTATTTTTGTATTTAGTAGGGGTTCTACAGGGTCTCACTACACAGATTGGACTTGTAGTGATCCTCCTGTTTTCAGCCTCCCAAGCAATGGGATTATAGGCATGTGCCACCATGCCCAGTCTCAATCGCTGTCTCAGTGCACCCCGGGGGTGAGGCTGGCACAGCACACTAGGGATTGGTCCCTGCATCTGCCTAAGCAAGCACTTTAATCCACTGAGCTATCTAACTAGCCCATCTTTTCTTTTCTTTTCCTTTCTTTTTTCTTTCTCTCTTTCGAATAGTATATTTTTAAATAAAATTGATGTTGATGTTTTTGTGTTCTTAGAGAAGGCTTCATATAGACTTTTGTAAAGATCAGAAGAAGAAGGCAAACCTGAGTGCTTATGTAGCATTTTAAGGAGGAATGATAAATTTCAGAGAGCTGATAAGAAAAAGGAAATGAAAGGGGCTTAGGCCAAAGGAGGTATAGGAAAATGATTGGAAAATGTACAGAAGAAGCCATTGGAAAGTAGAGTTTTTTAAAAAGTAAGTTTATTTTGATGAATTTATCTTGGTGCTGACCCTCTATCTTTGATAGTAAGAATATTCTTCTCCTCCTGGTAGAGGGAAGGCACCTTTCTCATGGGAAATTTTATGCCTTGTATTTTTTTTTTTTTCTGTATTTTAGGGAAGGGTCTGCAGGGTGTTCAGGGTCTCACTACTAGATCGGACTCATAGTGATTCTCCTGTTTACAGCCTCCCAAGTGCTGGGATTATAGGCATGTGCCACCACACCCAGTCTCAACTGGTGTCTCAGCTGGCCCCAGGGATAGGACTGGCACAGCAGGCCCAGAGATCGAACACCTAGCCCCTGCACCTGCTTGCAGGCGCCTTAATCTGCTGAGATAGTTGGTTGGCCCTATGCCTTGTATTTTGGTAGAAAGGAAGGTGTCAGAGGGCCCTTCTTACATCTGCTTTTTCCTCGTTGCCTTTAGTTCAACATATCCAATAGTCCTTGTGGCATGTCACAAGATATATAAGCAATTAACTTACATTTAGTAGGAAAGGGGGGAAAAGTGAGCAGGGAGGGAGCAAACGAGGGAGGGAGAGAGAGAGAGAGAAAGATAGAGATAGAGATAGAGATAGAGATAGAGATAGAGATAGAGATAGAGATACAGAGACAGGGATAGAGAGACAGGAATACGACCATATTCCCTGTGTCTATCCCCCCTCTCCATGGCACCGTCTGGAATATAGTGCCCCCCGGAATCCAGTCACCTTCCAAACATACAAGTCATTTGGGGGCATCTTAGATTTTAAAAGTTACACTGTTTGTTGCACACCATGAAGAGTAAAATAATGATGGTGTAAGGGAAGCAAGGAGAGAGAAGGCCTTGTCCAGCCCTCAGGAGCCAGGGCCAGCTTCTCCCTGTATTGGAGCTGAAGAGGATGCACTCTGAGCCAGTGTTAGCTTTGTTCTGCACACAAAGACTTTAATCTTCTCCATAGATAACCGAAGGGGATTTTATTATTCATTTTTACATATGGAAAAACAGAGAACGAGGTGGTGATACGATGTCACTATTGCCTGGCCAATAGCAACTCCAGTAATGATACTCTTAGCCTCGCTAAGAGGAGAACATAATGCCATGGTAGTAGTTCTGGCCTTTTAGGGGATATGAAATATGGAATGGTCCTGCCAGGCACTAAGCCTTGCGCGGGGGGGGGGGGGGGGCGGGGCGCTCTGCATAGGCTCAGGGCCCTACTATGTGCAGAACTGGTCCTCATAAAAGCAGAGAGGTGACAACCTCGTAGACATTCAACTGTTGGGGTATGTGCTCACATCACGTGGCTGTTGAAGCCACAACAGGTGGGTATTAATTACATTTCCACTATTTACTTATCATAGACCCACAAATGATTTTTTTTTTTAAATTTGAGGAGTCCCGTTTCCAAAATGGGGATGACCATGCATTCCTAATAGGTTACCGCAGGATGGAGTGCGAGTACCTCCATATTTATTGTACTGTAGCAATCAACTCCAGCTCTCCTAGGTTCGGTTCTCACCGTGCACCTTGGTTAGCTCCCCCTTCTGGGTAGCTCTGCTGTGGTCCAGCGCAAGGGCCATAGGGGG